GCCTGCGCGTCCAGAGCCTGTGCTCCACAACGGGAGAGGCCACAACAGTGAGAGGCCTGCGTACCGCAAAAAAAAAAAAATCATGCAAGCAGTATAGAATCCTGTGACATGTAAGTAGTGGGCTTTTAATAAAGAGGAATTTTATGTTTTTCACCTCTGAAATGAATGAATTGTATTCATATATGCAAATTAGCAAAATCTATTAGGCCTAAAGATATAATTAAATTATATGCATTTTAAAAAATCCACTATTAGTATAATACAGGATCTAGCTAAGAGTTATTGTTAACTATGGGAAGCCATATGTATGAAAATATTGTAATGTGAAAATAATGTTATAGAACAAAATATCTTTTCCAATCGTTCTGTAAATCTGCTATAATCTAGGAGAAAATGTAAATCTTACCAAAAAATTGTTTGTCTCACCCCACTAATATGGCAGCAACAAGAGTTGAAACAGCTCTCACTAAGACACTGAGTATCATAAAGACAATACAGAGAAGAGTAACAGAAACAATGGACACATCTTCAGAAAACAATAAAACGACTGTTGTGTAAGATAAAAGTTCCTATTGTATAGGAAGAAGGAAACTAGTTATTTTTCTTTTAATAAGAAAATTACCATTTACACAATAAGGTTGGCTGATCTGAAACACCTTTCCTTGCAGCACCTTTTCATGAACTATGTGGTTGATTTGGTGGCAAAGCTGAAACTGAAGCCAAGAAGATTCAAGTTCTCTCTAACCTGAAGTATTATTGATCAGTCACTGGAACTTAGGATAATTATGGCATTTCTTTTATCCTAGATTAGTTCTTTCTAAGAAAACATAAATTAAGTAAAACATTTAAAGATATATGCACTTCCTTGGCAAATAAAATAATGTCAAATGGTAGTGGGCTTAAATATCAGGGGAAACAAACAAACAAACAAAAAACAGAGTAGTGGAAGCTCAGATAAACTCAAGAGCCTGTCTGATTTGACCAGACCAGGGTCCCCAATTCCAGGGATCTTGCTCAATAGCATCATTTTTTAAGTATCTGTTGTGCATCATTTGATGAATTTAAAAACAAAGAAGAGACAAAAAACACCCGTGTTTTCCCAATGAAATGGTGCTATTTGAAGCAAGAACTAGGAGAGTGCATAAAAGAAGGTGGACCTTTAGAGTCATTTTCTTAATGTTCAATGTGATCTTCCTTTATGTGAATGAAGAATGTACTGGCCACTCACTAGCAGTGTGTTATTATCATCATTATGAATCCATTAGACATACTTAGGTGAGCTGAGTAACAGCCTTGTGACCAAATCCTCCGTCTCTTGCTTTTAGTGTAGCATTTAATAGAACACAAATTGCTCCTTATTTATTTTTGCCTATGGTAAAAATTCTAAGGAAATATAAAAGTCCTCTCCTTTGCCCTTGGATATCAATAGAAGTAGTAGATGTAGTGAGTTTTGAGTATTAAGTTGTTGCATGTTTGCCATTATTGTAACAAGTGAGTCACAGCTATATCTGATAAACCTAGTAGTAGTAGTTATTAAATCTGGAATATTCTACCCTAAGTGTAAAGCTGCAGGGAGGGAGGGCAGCAAAAAGGTCTAATGCTTAATAAAAGTATGCAGTTTCCATTGTCTTTGGAAGCTGTATTTTCCTCCTATACAATGATATGAAACACAGGCACACACATGCATATTAATACTAATACACACATAACCAGTCTGCAAAGGAGACATGTGGCATGGTTGCAGTTATTTTAGTTTGAAAGTTATCCTTGGAACACTCTACCATAGTGCTGTACCTTAGTTGATTTCCTCCTGCCTTTCTTTGCCTAATGGCTTTCTCTTGCTACTGAAGCCTGTTTTGCCACACACTGCAGGTAGCATATGCAGGAGAATAAATGTCTTTCTCTCCCAGTTGCTCTCAACCAATGACTGACAGCTGGAGTCCTTTCATCGTCTCCCTTACATTTTAAGGAGAGTAACTCGGAGGTGTACGTCCTACACTGGCTGCCAGAGTCTCTCCAATGGAAAGAAGCTCCAGTCACTCATGAAGGCAGATGACTTTACTGATTCTCCTGTCTCATTTCCATATTCCCTTACTGATGAGTCCCTCACCTCCAAAAGAAACTATCAATACTTTCACTCAAATCCTTGTCTCAGGGTCAGCTTCTGCTTCTGGAAGAGCCCAAACTAAGACATATGTCAAACATGACTTTTAACTTAATAACCCTGAGAATATTTGCAATTTCAACTCAATTCTTAGGTCCAAATTGCAAGTAATTTTGCTAACATAGACCTTTTGTGGTTTGATATGTTATTTAAGCACTTATAATGATCTTCACACATAATAGATGAGGTAAAAATGTAGGTATGAAAAGTAGGTATATGTTTGTATTAAAGTTATACCAGCCTACTTAAAATACTGAATTCACCATTAATTTTTCCAGTTCAGCAGTATTTTAATTGTTGTGAAGCTATCCTAATGTTTTAAAAGTTGAGAAAATAGTAAGAAGTGTTTCTGCTTGATATTTATTGAAACTCTGCCAATAGCAGTTCATCAATCTGTTAATCTTCTAGCAGTTATTCACCAGGCAGGAAAGGTGCAGTCAACATATTTTCCCTAATTTTTTTTTTTCATTTTTAAGAAGATCAGACTCTTTAGAGTCTGTTGGTCACCAGATCTATCAACCATCTAGGAAAATGATGCCTTCATGGCTCAATCAGAGCCTCATCTAAATTTCAGCAGAAATCTGTAACTTCAAGCTGCCATCCCCACTCCTGTTTCCATGGGAATAGACTTCAGATGAGGGAAAAGAAAAAATGGACGGGGTTAGGAGCTTTCAAATAGTCATTCAAAATCATGATGAGGTTTTCAAAGCTTCTTTCCTAGGTGATTATTTTGTAGCCTCTTAACCCCTTTTTGCCAGTCTGTTTCCATGGAAATATGACAAAAATGGCTGTCCAAGCCTCCAGCAGAGATTATTAGCATTCTTATGAATTTCAGCTTTGGCTGCTGTCTAGACTGGGCAAGATCTTTTACTATCAGTTTTACATATTAACTACACTGTTTCTACTCATTGTCTTTTTTCTTTATCATTTTTACTTCTTTGAAAGTTCCCTTCACAAATTTATACTTATGATCAAGATCAAATTGATCGTGACATCACTGAAAAAAGCTTGTTTTACATTTTAATATTTGAACCGGCTGTAGAGAGCGTCAGAAATTTTAGAGACCGGCAGAAGGAACATTATTTAGTTATTGGACTCAATGTCTGTTAGATAGGTGTTGATAGATATGCAGCAAGAATCATATTTAAAATATTAGTAACTGTTAAGACACAGCACTGAAACCAAGGGGGACACTGTGGGCTCCTGGGATCTGGAGCCTTTCTGTTCAGCCTCAGTGACCTTCCCTGAGTTCCAGAGGGCAGGTTCAAACAGTTGTTAATCAGGGAAGGGAGGGGATTCAGAGACAAGGAAGGAGCAGGCAAGAAACAATAGGGTCCCGGGATACAAATAACAATATCTTTGTGCTCTTTACAGAAAGAAAACCCCCAACAAATGGAAATTGTTAGCATTCTTCATTCCAGATTAAAGGAACCAGAAAAGCTCTTCAAGACACCAACTGAGGCCAGATTAAAGGAAAGGAGGCCCTGCACACACCTTAATCTTATCAGCAATCCCACCCTTGAACCACTGCTATAGAACTCCTCACTAAACTCACTAAACCCTCGGCGTTGGGACACACAGTTTTGAGGGCAAGAGCCTGCTCTGTGTCCCTCTGCCAGGCACAGCAATAAAGCTATTCTTCACCCAAACTCTGTCTCCGAGGTTCGATTCGGCACTGGTACACAGAGACAGAGCTTTCGGCATCTGCACCAACCAATCAGAGCAACAGGTTGGTCCCACTTAAATTATCAGCCCTATTGTATAACGACCCATAAGTTGTTAAACTAAAAGTAGCCCTATATAAGATGAGTATAGCATTAGACCCAAATAAATTATCCAGCGCCACAAACTGAGCTCCTATAAAACTTACAAAAGAGCGTACAAGAGAAAAGGATAGAAAAACATAGCAATTTGTCTTTTTAAAAATCAAAGTGCATATTCTTTTATATGAAGGTCATTTGAAAATCAAAATCATTCTTATTACTGAAGACATTATGCTAAAAGATAGAGAAAGAATACATATGGGTCTTTGACAGCACCTCTGGCAAGATATCTTGTGTTGAATGTGAAAAAATAACAGCATGCTACATACGTAGTTTCACTTGTTGTACCTTCTGGAATTGGCTGAGCAGCTCAATCTACAATTATTGCTAGGGGGAATCTTAACGTTCTGGTTGACCTTATAAAGTACTTTCATTCTTCAGAACTCTGGAGCATTTTACCTATAAGGTCTTGTCTTATGAATATGAATTGAAAAAAACAAGTTTCAATGTGTAATTATCTGAGTTAGTGGGTTCCTAATTTAAATTTAACAGCAACTAACTCACTATCAAAACTAATCTTGATTGATGTTTTCAAGTAATATATCATAACAACAATAAAATAAAGCAGTCTGATTTTCCAAATCATCGCCACTACTCTCAAATGCAGTCTGGCATGGTAGTTAAACACATGGCCGTTGAGGGCAGGATTTGGTCAGCAAGCCAAATCTGGCTTTTAGCTCGCTTGTGTAAATAAAGTTTTACTGGAACACATTCATACCCATTCGCCCATTCCTGTGTTATTTTGTTTTTTTTTTAATTGTCTATGGCTGCTTATCTACTAAAAGGAGAGAGTTGAGTAGTTGTCACAAAAACCACATTGCAGGAAAAGCCTGAATATTTATTCTCTGGTCTTTTAAGCAAAAGTTTGCTGACCCTTGCTCAAGCCTTTAATTGTAAGATTATACCATTTCCAGAGAAGACACTTTGAAGTTGGAGTCTTTTTTTTTTTTTGAATTCTAAAAGCAGTCTATTAATAATGGATAAAAACGTGATTGCCTGCTGTCTGTACTTACATCCATAAACTCCACATTGGCTTTGGGACCAGTTGTTTCATTAAGAATCTTAATAGCCACAGGAATCTTCACTGTTTCTCCTTCAGGGACCCAAATACCCTTGGGAGGAAAAAAATCACATTAAATCTATATTAAGACATACAACATTTAGACCAGAAACAAAATTTGATTAAACACTTGACCTATTAATACCTTAAAAAGTAATTTAGAAGTTCCATATTTTGTCATTCAATCAACAAATGTTTTTCAAGCACCTGTTATATGTTACAAATTACTCAGCAACTTTGTTTTCTGCTTTCATTACCTGAAGGTGGATCATATATGTATTCTGCTTTCAAGGTGTTTACGCTATTATCAAGTTCAATTTGTGTACATGAAAAAGGCTTTGAATAGTAAAAAAAAAAAAAAAAAAAGAAGAAGAAAAAGAAAAAACATTGAAATAATAATAATATTTGACTTGGATGATATCATCAACTTCTCACAACTTTGAGAAAGCTGTTTTGATTTTTGAACTTCAATTGTCTTATTTGTAGTTTAGAAGACTGGGGTAATTAATGTTGGAGGTTCTTTTCAGCTTTAATATTATCTAATTATTCTGCAACTAAAAATAAAATGAAATAAAAAAGCATATTCTTATGTATCAAAATTCAGATTGGTTTAAGAATTAATTTTCTAAGGTTGATTGTATAAGAATTAGTTTTCAGGGCTTCCCTGGGGGCGCAGTGGTTGAGTCCGCCTGCCGATGCAGGGAACACGGGTTCGTGTCCCGGTCCGGGAAGATCCCACATGCCGCAGAGCGGCTGGGCCCGTGAGCCATGGCCGCTGAGCCTGCGTGTCCGGAGCCTGTGCTCCGCAACGGGAGAGGCCACAACAGTGAGAGGCCCACGTACCACAAAAAAAAAAAAGAATTAATAGTTTTCAAAGGCAAGTACTAGGGAGTATTGAGCACATATTAATTTGTCTATATTATTTAATATTCAAGGATTTTTATTATTTCTGAAGTAATACAAAATATTTATATTAGTCACTGAAAGTTCTCTCTTCCTCTAGAGACATAATTATATTCAAACAGGACCTGTGCATTGTGGGAAAGTATAAAGTTGGCAGGGTTTGGGTAAAGTACAACTTTAGCTAAATAACAGCATTTCTGAGTAAACAATTCAATCATCTGAATGAGGATAATGATACTGGTAATACAGGGATGCATAGAATATACAAGAATATATTTTTTTAAGTGTATCGTCCCAAAGGAACACAGAAGCAGATATGAGGTTACATGTAAAAAAAAATCTCAAATTTTAATTTATTAGCCTTGACATCAAAAATGTCTTCTAAGGACAGTTTTAACATTAAAATGAAAGGAAGAAAAAAATAGTCTACTATTCCTGAGCAGAACACCTCCACTTCCTGTTTTTCTTAATATCAGCTGGTTGTAGTTATAAGGAAAATATTTTTAAAAGTTTTTCACTTAGTACTTCTATGCTAAGACATATGTATTTGTGTTATCCAAAGTAGTAATAATAGAAGACCTAAACACAAGAATTATTAAAAAGTCAAAATAATAAAGAAAAAAAGACTTTAACCTTTAGAAGGTGAATTTAAGGGTTATGTTCTTAGAGTGAATAGGGAAAGCTATATGTCAAATGCACAATAATAAGCCAAGTTCCCTGCAGTATATTTTTTTTTTGTAAATTATTAACGTAAAAATGAGAAAAAAAAAGCCCAAGACCCATTTTCTTTTTGATGGTACTAGGGTGGAGAACAGGCTTACCGTTATTTAAAAAAGTAACAACAGAGGGGGTTACCTTATAAAGATATAGCATAAATATTAAAATATTCCTAAAGTATACTTTTGAAATAAGAATATACATTCAGTGTGAATTAATTTGCACTGCTTTTTAAATTAGTATAGTCATTATTTTCCAGGCTCCATCAGAGCACAGTTCAACTATGCTGATACCATGATATTGGTTCAAATCTTTTATGTTTAAACACAGTGTATCTTCAACCAGAAGGAAGCATTAACCAAGTAATTGGCTAAGCCAACTTGAATTTCTGTGGTCAAGAATAGTTCTTTAAAGACAGTATGTCCTTGTAAGAACTAATATATTAATTAAAACTTAGGGTCAACAATATACACTGTAGGCATAAATTTAAACATACTTATGGAACTTTCAATAAGCTTTTAATAGAGGTAATTTCAATACATGTGCAACACTCTTGGACAGTGGGCAAATAAGTGTTGTTAAAAATATTAATAAAGCTTTATTATTAAATAATAATAAAATATTATTAATATTTTACCTTCTGAGGTCACTAGATAATATTTAGTCTTGAGTTATATGGTATTCATGATTTAAAATAAAATTCAATTTCCAGACCGTACCATCTTGAAAAATACAACCATGACTATATGCAAGGTACATGCCAAGATTGAGTTACTTTTAAAATGGAAGTCCATTTTTTTCCTAGCACAATATAAATAGAGAGACAGATAGGATACATTGTGTCTCTTTAAACAGAAAAAGGATTTGAAGACTAGAAGGTATCAAGTCAGCCTAGAATAGTTTATATTCAAATTAGGTACTCAGCTAATATATTTTTTTTTAATTTTTATTGGAGTATAGTTGTTTTACAATGTTGTGTTAGTTTCTACCATACAGCAAAGTTAATCAGCTATACGTATACATATATCCTCTCTTTTTTGGACTTTCTTCCCATTTAGGTCACCACAGAGCACTGAGTAGTGTTCCCTGTGCTATACAGTAGGTTCTCATTAGTTATCTGTTTTACACATAATATCAATAGTGTATATATGTCAATTCCAATCTCCCAGTACATCCCACTCTCCTTTCCCCCTTGGTATTCATACGTTTATTCTCTACATCTGTGTCTTGTCTGTGTCTCTATCTCTGCTTTGCAAATAAGATTGTCTACACCAATATTTTTAGATTCCATATATATGCATTAATATACAATATGTTTTCCTATTTTTGACTTACTTCATTCTGTATGACAGTCTCTAGGTCCATCTACGTCTCTACAAATGACCCAATTTCATTCCTTTTTATGGCTGAGTAATTCTCCATTGTATATGTACCACATCTTTCTTATCCATTTCTCTGTTGACGGACATTTAGGTTATTTCCATGTCCTGGCTACTGTAAATAGTGCTGCAATGAACATTGGAGTGCATGTGTCTTTCTGAATTATAGTTTTCTCTGTGTATATGCCCAGTAGTGGGATTGCTGGGTCACATGATAGTTCTATTTTTAGTTTTTAAAGGAACCTCCACACTGTTCTCCACAGTGGCTGTATCAATTTACATTCCCAACAACAGGGCATGAGGGTTCCCTTTTCTCCACACCCTCTCCAGCATTTGTTGTTTGTAGATTTTTTGATGATGGCCATTCTGACCTGTGTGAGGTGATATCACATTGTAGTTTTGATTTGCATTCCTCTAATAATTAGTGATGTTGAGCATTTTTTCATGTGTTAGTTGGACATCTGTATGTCTTCTTTGGAGAAATGTCTATTTAGGTTTTCTGCCCATTTTTGGATTGGGTTGTTTGCTTTTTTGTTATTGAGCTGCATGAGATGTTTGTATATTTTGGAGATTAATCCTTTGTCCGTTGATTCATTTGCAAATATTTTCTCCCATTCTGAGGGTTGCCTTTTTCATCTTGTTTATGGTTTCTTTTGCTGTGCAAAAGCTTTTAAGTTTAATGAGGTCCCATTTATTTTTGTTTTTATTCTCATTACTCTAGGAGGTGGGTCAAAAAACATCAGCTAATAATTCTGAATTTAATTGAACAAAATATGCAGAACAAAAGATTAAGAAACTTTTGCATTTTGACCATAGAATAAAAGTTTTATTTTAAAGAGATTACATTATTTTTGGAAAATTCAAGAGAGAAAATTAAGGTTTATATTCCAATTGTTAATAATTTCCATTAAATAAATCTGTCTTAAATATAAGAAAATAACATTTTAAGATGTAAAGTTCTTAAGATCTTACATATTTTAGCCAACATATTTGTAAAAATGTAGGCTTGCATATAGCTTTGAGAAACTTGTTAAAGCAAATTTTGGGAATTGAAGTAATGGACATTACAAGAAGGATTTAGTACTATCCCAACAGAGCTTCTTATTCTTGTTGTTTACCATTAAAAATAAATTTCACCACAATTAACCTTGGGCCTGGCCTTTGAATTGGTTTTGTAATTAAGTTAAATAAGTAAACATGCAAATGCCATCATTCCAGCTCTCCCTTTCCAGAAATATCTCTCTTATTAAAAACTCATGTTGCCACCCTCTCCTTCTAGCTAACCTGAACTTAGAGAAAAGAAAGAAAAGCACATTGCCCAGGTCTCTTGGGGATCTCCTCCTGTGTAGGGGTAAAGGTAAATGGGTTGGATCTGGGTATTTTGGAAAAGAACAATTTTGCCAAAGGGAGATGATATCAAAAGGAGCTCAGAAGGCATTCAGAGAATGAACAATATTTTGGCTTTGCATCCTTGTTTCCTGCTTTCTCATAACTGTATCCAACCCAGTTTAGTCAATAAAAATTAATGAATTCATTTGTTCAGCAACTTCTCAATACTATAAAGATTTCTCCTCTCTGAATATTAAAGAGGAGTTAGGTTGGCTAGAACAATAACTTTGGCTATTATTTAAAACAAGTCTGAAACAAAACAAAATAACTGATGGTATGTGTTATTTTCTACTTACTTTATAAACAGTTCCAAAAGCACCTGAACCAAGTACTTTTACTCTTTTGAGCTCAGTTTCTTTCAAAATACGTAGTTGAGCTTGATTAGGTGCCGTACCACTGGGTGTTAAGGGTTCTACCAACTACAAAGCAAAAAGAGTACAAGTTACACAACTTTCGATCCAACAATCAGTGTTCCTCTCTTTTTCTCTCTGGTTCACCTTCTCACACATAGAAAACACACACAAGAGCACTTTTCCTTGACAAACAATATGTTTGTCAAATGGATCACTCACAATTCCTTCTGACCCTACCCTTTCTCTTCTCATGCTATTCACCTGGGTGAACACAAGTAACAAATGTGTACCTACCTTGAGGCATACTAGTCTAGGGGATTTTTTTCCCACTTTTTATAGAAATTTAGAGACTAATTAGGGGCTCTTAATTCTACTTTTTCATGCTCCTTCCTTTTGGAAAACTTCATCTAAGACTTAGAGATTTTACTTATGCCAGTGTACTCTATCAAAGTTTTTTTTTCATTTCAGGAAATTCGATACATAAAAATTAAATAAATACAATTTTTAAAAATTAAAAAAACTACCTTCTTATCATTTAATACCTAGCAGGGAAGTCAGGACAGACATGTCAGAAGAGAAGAAAACAAGTTAGCACAATGTCACTACACCAAGACAGTGTTTCTAAATCTTTCATGTACATATGAATTACCAGAGTTTTTTGTTAAAATGCAGATTCTGGTTCAGTAGATATGGATTTGAGGCTGAAATCTGCATTTTTACAGAACTCCAGGAGATTCCTCTTTATGATGATGGTCCTTGAACACATTTTAAGTAGCAAGGCCCTAGAGCACCTTCTAGGTTAAAAATTCTAAAATGCTATGAATTGATTCTAGATCATAAATGAATTCTATGAAATGCAGAGGAATAAAATAACCACTGGGGAGTGAGGTTTGCTTTTTGTGGCTCCTAAAAGGAGGAACACTTTAAAATTGGTCTTGAGATAATAAAAATGGATGGACATGGGGGAGGACACTGCCACCAGGAAGAACAGTTTGCACACAGTATCAGGGAGAAGGACAGGTCTGAAGGGTGAGATTAGAGTGGGAAATGCCAGTTCCTAAAGTGGGCTGGGTAGCCAAAAGGGGTAAAATTAGGCTGATAATTTTAGATGTCATAGTTTAGATGCCATTTCCAGAGAGGATGGGTAAGCAGGAGAAAGATATGTAACTGTGTGCCAATTTCTTGACTATGTGAATACAAAAATGTAGACAGAAGAGAGACTCTGGGTACCACAAAGTTTATACTGTATGTTAAAATTTTAGAGTTTTATCTATGCTTGAGGAAAAAGGCAAGTCAGAGAAACAAGAGCTTTTTTAAAATTTATTTTTAAGTTAAATAAAAGAACTAAACTTTAAACACAGACAAATAGCTTGTTCTCCCTCAGCATAAGGAAATAATTAAGGCCTACTCCTCCTACTCACATTGTCTTGAAAACCACCACAGTATTTCAAAATGTCTGTTTATAAGGCTAACTGCACTGCGGTCCTCAGCTTGGTTATTATTATCATGCTTCTGTGAACATCATGGTCTACTTAATTAGCTAAACAGAATCTTGAATGTAGGTGAAGTTTAGGGATGTTAGCAAGAATTTGGGAAAGGTGATAAGAATTATAATATTCTTAAGCTATTTTTTAACAGTCTGGCAACTAATACACTTTTATTTCAATTTCAAATTTATCTTGTAATAATGCACATAACTGCATTCAAGTCCCATAAATCTCAGAAAAAGTCACACAATTCTTTAACAAATCTGAAAAAAATCTCCTGCAGAGGATCCCATTCATTTGAATCCTGCTGTGCAGAATTTCTTTTATAGATTTTGATACACATACTATGTATACAGTAAGAAACTTTTATAAAAGTTTAAAAGTTATAAAACTTTACAATCATATACAAAAGTCATACAAAAATCATATGCAAGATTGGGGACTGGATTTTAGCAGTTTAGGCTAGATAGACTTAAAAATGTATATATACGTATTATATATAGGCATATACTGTGCAATAATTTCATATTTTGAAAACTTTACAATTCTACCCGCAATTTTATTAAGTATCATTCAATTTATTTCTACAAACACATTTTTTTCCCCAGGAATTTGAGTATTATACCATTAAAAGAGCACAGTTTTATTTTATGACCCAGTATGGTAGAAAGATAATTGAGTTTAAATTTGTGGGTTTGTATATCATTGTTGCCACTTACAGGCTTAGAACACAATTTGCCTTTCCTGGCCCTTCATTTCACACCTGTGAAATTGGTATACCAATAATTATCTTAGAAGATTGTTAAAGGATGAAATGGTATATACATAGGTGGAAAACTCTGGAACATTACCTGCCATAATACAGGTACCAAATCTGTCACTCTTCAAGGGATAGGATTATATCTCATTAATACATTTCTAAATCACAGCATCTATCAAAGCATTAAGCTTATAGTGCATCTCAATAAGTGTATATTGAAAAAAAGATTTTCTACTTTTATGCATGCAACAGAAAAAAGACAATCTGGGTCAACATGATTTTGTGAAGCGTATCAATTTTAAAAATCTTCCAACAACATATCATGTTTTAACAAAGTTTTCACATCTGAGGCAGATTTCTAGCTTCAGTATTTAAGAATTTAAGTTGAACCTGTTAAAAATTCCTCTTCTATTTAGATGGTAGAAAATCACGGTTATTTACTTTTACTGAGAGAAAGACAAGAATTCAACAATTAGCTCATTTAGTCCTAAGCTATAACTTTCTATAAAAAATAGAATATGCTTATAAAACCAATCAGTATGTGTTTATTTAGTAATGAAATGCCAGTTTGGAGGGCATTATTAGAAAGCACCATATTAACAGCACAAAACAAAACAACTATTTTCATAGCAATGAGCTTTTCCTACACATAGTTAAGAGACAGAATTTGTCTTCTATTTATTCAATCACCTAAATATCCACTGCTATTCCAAACCTTTAATTCTTTTCCAACTCTAGTTTATTTACTTCACTTTTCAGAATTCTTTCAGTGACTGCTCCAAGCTGTCCATAAGAGAGAATTCTACCTGTCTCCATCATCCTAGTTAACCTGAAAATATGCACAGCACATGGGCTGTGCCCAAACTGTTATTCATGTTCACATGTACAAGGCTGAAAGTGATCAAGTTGATCTTTTGTAACATCCAGCTCAAGTCGGAATCATTACTATGTTCACTCTGTGTATATAACTACCATTTTTATGCTTGAACGTGTCTACTGATAAGACAGCCCATTTAATTTCAGATAACTTCAATCATTAGAAGTATCTTCTTATATGTAACTGTATAGTAGCTTTCTGAAACTTTCAAATAATTCTATCCAGATTTAACTTTTGGGGGAAAAGAGCTAAAATTTAATTCATTATCAGTGTGAGAAACATATGAATGAATGAATATTCCCATTCCTTTCAGTGTTAAGAGGAAAAGTCAAAATGTCACACTGACAGTGAGACAGAAAACAAATGCAAAGAAGGCAGACTGTCTCAGTACAGATTTGCTCTGAAATGTTCAGATAGGCATGGATACGTGTATCAGGAGAAAGAGGTAGGATTCGAGTTGAGAAGGATATGGTAACACATGGTCTTCTGCAATTGTTTTTCCTCTATAACCTTTATGGTGAAAACGATCATCTTGCATGCTAGAGAATTCAGTGTGGCAATACAAAAGAAATTATAGTATTTTATGGATAATTTACATATTCACAATAACTAACATGCATAATATTAAATGCACCTCATAAATAGTGTGATAAGGCCTATGTGATTACAAAACTAAGCTTTATCCTGAAGCTCATCTTTTCACTGCTGCTATAATGAGATCAGTGGCTACCAATTTAATGGCCCTAATTAAAGCATAAATTGCTTGCCAATCTGGCTTTATTTTAAACCAAAAAAATTCTATTGTTTTCTAACATTTTTCTAGTTCTGCTACTGAGATATTCTCTGACTCAGATATTTTCTAGTTCTGCTACTTGTATATCCTAGAGCTTGTTAATGGACCCCTGTCTCCAAAAGAAACAGATCTGGCCCAATATGATAATTTCCTCGACCCCTGCTATTTGCCCTCTTCAAGCCATGAGCCTGCCTTGACTACACTTATTATATACTCTGATTTTCCATCAACTTTGTATACCATACTATAAAATATAAACCCTCAGCAGGAAATTGAATAGAATTTTCTCTTGGATTAAAAAACTAAGTATCTAAACCTTCTAAACCTAATGAAAGTCCCTAAACACTTGAAGAGAAGAAATGAACACCTCACCTCTGTTTCCAGGAATCTTCTTAAGGCTCTTTTCTTTTTGATGCTCTTCCTTCTAACATAAACTGCAAATGTTAGACCCACGATGACCATGATGAAGAGCCCGCCAATGACTCCGGCTGCAATTAGAGGAGTCCTGCCAACCAGAATGGAAAAGTAAAGAAAAAAGTATGAAGAGAGAAAAGACAGAGGAAGAGGAAAAAGCAGTTGGACAAGCCATTATCCACATATCACAAGTCTAGTCAATTAGAAGAAATGCAAATTAAAAAATGCATTAAAGCTTTCACAAAACTTTTCTCATGGTAAAAACTGTACCTGTTTTTTGTTTTGCTTTGTTTTTTAGTAATAAACCATGCACAGACAACTAATCTTTGGGGATGAGCAGCCACAACATGCCATTTGATGAAAAAATGTAAAATTTGATAACAAAATGAAGAATGTATGCCAAATTTTTGCTATAGCATAATTTTAAATCATTTTAATTTTACTTTTATCTATAAAGAAGTAGAAATGCATTTAAATAGTATTGTTGTGGTTTATAATATTATTTTCAACGTTTTCTCTGAAGCAGGCTTTCTCAACAGTGGCACTATTGACATTTGGGGCTGGATACTTGTTCATTCTGGGGACTGTCTTTTGCATTTTAGGATGTTTAGCAGCATCCTTGGTCTCCATCCACTACAAGCCAATAACACCTCCATCCTCTAGTCATGACTGTCTCCAGACATTGTCAAACGTCTGTCAAAATCACTGCCAGTTGAGAACTACTGTTCTAAACCAAAAATTAGTGGTCTGAGGACATATGAACCCCACACCTCTGGTATATAGAGATATCAACAGAGAGATGCATTGACAAAAGTGCTATTTCAAACTCTGGCAAGGGCAACTTTGCTGGGACAAAGGGTACGAGAAAGATGAAGACTGGGTCAGATGGGTTTTCAGAGTTATGATGACTGGAGTAAGCATTATTATTAAAAGTATGAATAAGCATCATATACCCATGAAAGATGTCTACACACTAAGTATTAAATAAAAATATGTAAATAGTATTAAAAAGGGATTAGGAAGAAATTGACTGGAGATTTTTATTCTTAAAATGTTTCTCTAATATATTGTTAGCTAATGTATAATTTTGAAACTGATCACTTTTTGTTTTCCAAGATAAATTTTTGCTTGCTTGAAAAGTAATGTTTATGGTCTTAACTTCTTGTTCTAGAGTAGAGTAGTATCTATGAGCTTTCTGTAGTCAGAGCCCTGAAATATATTAATTTCATATGCCATAGCAAGCCGTTCAGAGTAAAACACATAGGTGTTGACTATGAAGTCATGATAGATATCAAAACTAAAAAATAACTCCCTGAATGCTCATGCTTTCCATAGTAAAGTGTTTTATATTTTATATTCCTATTTATAGAAGAACCTACTCTATACAGCTACCCTCCTTCAGAAAAAAAAAAAAAATTACTTGTTCTTGAAAGGTAAACTTTTGCTCAAAGACAGATTGGAAATAACGAAAGCAGATGATCCTAAATAGAATTTTTAAATTTTAAAGAGCTCTGGGAAAAAATCTGGGTAACTTCTTCTATAAATTAAGTCATGTCTTTTAAACATTATAACTGTTATATTATTGTCATATAAAACTGCAAAGAAACCTTAAAATGTAGTTCATCCTAAAGGTTGTTTCCTGACAGCTCAAAGTCCTACAGCATACTGAAATGTTGCTATAATTCAACTAGATTTTCCTAAATGGAATTTTCTAAAGACTTAAAAATCTATGCTGAGAAAATTAAACTAAAGTACGGAAACAAACTCATCATTGTGATGTGTTTTGGTGTGTGTAAGATCACATTTTTGGTATGCCAGTTATATGTATTTCAGAAAATATTTTAGTTTTCAACCCAAGGCATAATTTTCAGCTCAACTGCCTAACACATCCCTGAAAAGCCACTACTATAAAAAGAACTGTATTTTTGTTTCCTGAGCCCAATTTTTTATTGCAAAGGATTTATGTATGATTGAGAATAGTCCCCAGTATTTTTTTAATTGTGGATTTGAACTAAACTCTAAACTTCCTCTGCTTATCTATTTTTCAAAAGAATAAATGGTATGTATTTATGACAATATTTGTCAATGTCACTGTAAATTAAAAGAAAATTCTTTTTTTTTTTTCATTTTAAGAATGATCACTTCCAATAGAACAAAACAAGATCCCTGACTCTATTTTCTTTTCATCTAATTTGGATGGATATCAGTTATCATATCATTACTACTTAGTTTAGTCATGGCAATGAAAATAAAACATTCAAAAACTCAATAGACAGTAATTTCGATGATTTTTCTAGTTAGCTTTTAGTTTTGATATTTTCCCTCAGCAGTTCCTTGGTTGACTTGCATTCCTCTAGCTTCTTTCTTCTTTTACCACTCTACAGGAATGATAAAGGTACAACCAACTTGAAGAAATAAAGAACTAGAGTTTCTGCACCTAAAACTAATAAATAAATGATTTTTTGGACATTTTAAGAGGCCAAACTCTTCTTATTCCAGAGAAAGTTACTCTTGAAAAAGAACATCAACCACAAGGAAGCAACCAATTAAATTGAAAAGGGACAATGTTCTATAAGAAAACTTGCTTGTTCTCTTTAATGAGTGAATATCATGAAAAAAGGTACTGATCTTGATTAAGAAGACTTAATATTCACAAAACCAGACATGAAATGAAACCCTGGCCTGGACTCTAGCATGGACAAGCCAACTGTACAGAAATTTTTTAGATAACTTGAGAAATTAGAATATGGATTAGATAGTAGATGAAATAAAAATGTGTTGGCATGTAAAGACGTGGACCAGAAATTGAAAAGACTGAGTTACAAAACAGTAGGATTTAATTAGAAAAAAGTTCATATACACATACACATATATGTGTGTAAAAAGATCTGGAAGAATGTACAATAAGACACTATGACTCTAGTGTTCTTATTTTTGTATTTTTACTTTTGGGCATTCTCTAATATTCTACAATATATTTACTTTCCCTTTGAAATAAAAGTTAATTAAATTTAAGAAAAATACAGAAAAAATAAATCATTGTCTAAAAGCTTAGTTTTACAATAATGGCCTTGTTTTCTTTCTTTATTTTCTTTTTGAATGTTTACTTTGCATCTTTTCAATTAAGAATTCATTTTGCTATTCCCTGTCCACTTTTATGATCTAAGTGCTTCTGCAGATATTTTCTATTCATTATAGGTTAATGTGTCTGAGACATCTAATTACCACTATGTTTCTTACAATTAACATTATGTTTTATAAGACCACTCTAATCTGAAGTTACACTACTTACACATTTCCTACGCCCCCTGCAGTTTTGATGATTCCTAGATATTTGTAGGTGTAGGATAGATGTCCATTTTTTTTTTTTTCCTGAGAGTTAATGCTTCACTCTTTATGAGGATCCTTTGGATAAAAGGGATATAGCTACTTAAGTTGCTTTTTTAAATTACTGTATATCCCTCCTAGGTCTCATGCTGACTATTTCCAACTAGGCTATATTCCTGAAAGAGTGTGTTCCTCTTATATGTTAGTCAGAGTAGCCTTCAAGAGGCTGAAATGTGACACTATTAATGAAATCAAAACCAAGAGACCTCGAGTACTCTGTAATCCCTTATCTGTAACAGGATTATTATTTGTTTCCTATCTTTTACCTGTCCATTAAAAATCGCTGGGATCCCCTAAAGTATACAAGATAGGACATGACAAGTGATAAGTGCAAGCTTTTTCTAAAAGGATGCTATCAAGTGATATTTTACCTTATTCTGTGATTTAGAAATAGTATAATGAAACTGATATTGTCTACTCATAGAAACTGATATAATAAGGGTTCTGAATCACAAATGAGCTTGACTAATTTATATAAAAGCATGTAACTTGGTTTTCACAATTTCATTCAGAATTTCAGAGACAACACAATGCATTATACTCTACTGCCTTGAATGCAGTTACCTATTTTAAACAGTTATATATAGAAGAGTAGTGTCTTCCCAAACCATACTACTCATATAATAAGATGTATTCTTATTATTCATTACTCTGTTGACCCATGCTTTTCCTCACTGGAGAATATAAAATGTGAGAGAATCATGGAAGCTGATTTTACAAACATCCAAATATTTTCTTTCATTGATCTGTTCCCTTCCAGATAACAGATGACAAATAAAATATAGTAAAGTCAATATAATTTATGATTAAAACTCAAATGGTTTTAAAACTATTCCATTATACCAGTTTTCATTTAATGTCAAGGGCAGGCTATTCTACAAAAAATGTGCAGTGGTATTTTCTTTAAAATTGTAAATGGTAAAACTGGTAGTTTGACTAATATAGTCACCAAATCTAAATCTATAGGATTCCTTTATATGAATTTCACCAAATAAAATGATTTTAAATTTGTAATATAGGTATATTTTTCTTCATTTCTTAAATACAGAATAATTTTCGGTTACAGATAAAGGAATCAATCAGCAGCCCTATAACACACTGACAGTATAGTTTGTAACTCACGGTATTGACTTTAAATCAGAGACCTCCATTTTTAGAAGCTTCTAAAGTAAATAGTTTGAAGATGGGTCATCAGAAGTTGCTGGATCAGACTTAGGGCTGCTTCACTGCTTATCTATGGGCACTAAAGGTTAAGCTGATTTTTTAAAAATTTACACAGAAGTAAAAACAAACAAGAAAAGCTGCAGGCTAGTCAGATAATTTTAACCAGACATTTTTGTATAAGAAAGTTTAAATAAAATTATAAAATAGTGCCTCTAACATTATTATTTTGTGTTTACCTTCAAATCTGCATGCTTTTTCCTTATAGTGCTGTATCATGCTGGAAAGATGTTTTCACATCAGACCAGTCAGAGCTTCAATTATGTTGTGCCTCCACTGGTTGTGAGCAGTGCCTCTATCAGATGACTCAGCTGAGATACACATAAGTACATGCTTCATGTAAGGCAATGAAAAATAAGTATAGCAGGAGCCAGCTAATCTTTCTTGGATTCCTGAGATCTGATACACTTGCCTCTAGATCCTGCCTAGTAGTATTCTTAAATCAAATACCTTTAAGCACTGGCAAATCATATACCTCCTGTA